GAATTAGGGTGAAAAATATCTTCCTAACCCAATTATGTCAACAATGATTAGGAAACAATATGGATAATGCACTGGTGAGTAATCATGAGTGAATATTGCATAAGTCCCTGGAATGATCATCATTTCTTAAATTTCAAACAGGAGACAGGAGAGAACTTCTTAGTGATCACAGAAATATTGGCTCATAGGATCCTCCCCATTGCATGACGTTTTTGCAGTCAGAAAACGCCCTCTGTGGAAAGGAAACTTGGGGTTGGGCAGGAGAGGAATATGCTGACCCAAGACCTTTCTAAATTAATGGATAAAAAGAAGAAAGAAAGCATGAATGGAAAAATTGTTGGGAGAAAGCTTAGGTCTGTGCAGAAAGGAGCACAATGGCACCGTTAGATGTATCTGAGTGATATCGAATGTTGAAGATGCATTTATCTTCAGTCCGACTATGTCCACAGAGCACAAGGCAAGGGAAGCCGACTCATATATCATAAGACTCTTGTTCTATGCTTTATCACATTGTCTTTGAGGTCTAAAGAAGATTCTGGCCGGGCACAGTGGCTCATGCCTGTAATCCCAGCACTTTTAGAGGCTGAGACAGGCTGATCACTTGAGGTCAGAAGTTTGATACCAGCATGGCCAACATGGTGAAACCCCATCTCTACTACAAATACAAAAATTAGCTGCACATGGTGGTGCACCCCTGTAATCTCAGCCACTCGGGAGGCTGAGGCGGGAGAATCACTTGAACCCAGGAGGTGGAGGTTGCAGTAAGTGGAGATCATACCACAGCACTCCAACCTGGGCGACAGAGTGAGACTCCATCTCAAAAAAAAAAAAAAAAAATTCCACTGGTTCCAAACTGAAGCAGCACTTAATAATTGCAGCCTACTTGCTAATGTTCACTAATATTTCCAGTTCTCCTCCCCTGGAACATATAGAGGATTGTGTCTTCCTGCCCTTCCACTAGCTGGATGGCCGATGTGACAAGTTCTAGCCAGCAGGCTGGGAATAAATGATATGTGTCATTTCTGGGGAAAGTATATGAGCTGGGGCATTACCTCCCACCTTATTTCCTACCACGGTGAACCAGGAAGGATCGTGTTGAGATGGAATTGACCAAGATTGAAGCCTGCAATGGTGAGCCACCACATGGAGAACGAGTGTCCCCAAGAACGACCTGGACTTGTTCTGAAGCTGGGGTGAAGGTACTTACAATTCCTGGGTCAGGATTATTTATAGGCAGCCAGAATTTTGCCCCCTACCCCATGAAGGTGGCTTCCTCTTAGTAGGGATTCTGATATGAGGCTGAAATAGATTTAGTATGAACAACAAGTGAACGATTGTGGTGTCAACACCTTGAGACTGTTTGGTGATGTTTACTACCACAGCCTAACTTAGCCTATCTTAACTAATACCAGTGTGTGGGTAAGCACATGCTTGCACTCCCAGAGAAACTCAAGAGGAGTGAAAAAAAATGGGCCATTGGTTCTGGTTCTAATTCTATTATATCTTCCAATACAGACACATTACATAAAGAATAGGAGTTCAGGCTGGGTGCGGTGGATCACACCTGTAACCACAACACTTTAGGAGGCTGAGGCAGGTGGATCACCTGAGGTCAGGAGTTTGAGACGAGCCTGGCCAACACGGTGAAAGCTTGTCTCTACTAAAATACAAAAAAATTAGCTCGATGTGGTGGTGCACATCTATAATCCCAGCTACTCAGGAGGCTGAGGCATGAGATTCACTTGAACCCAGGAGGCAAAGGTTACAGTGACCCAAGATCATGCCACTAGACTCCAGCCAGGGTGACAGAGTGAGACTCCATCTCAAAAAAAAAAGAGAGAGAAGAAAGATTAGGAGTTCAGGGGTGATTCCTCTCCTCTGCCTGTCCTCACCAGCCATTCAACTGGGGTACTTGTAACCTTGGCTCTTAGGGACCCCTGTGATTGCCTCTCAGGTCACTGCTCACACTCAATCTCATTGACACTCGATGTTCAATTGAGTATGAGCCACTCGGTGTCGGACCCTTACCTAGGGTCTGCCAGCATGTCCTTCCCAGCCCCTGGTGTGCACTGTCAGCCATTCTGTTTTGCTCTGAGGATGGGGTGGAAGGACTTGCAATTCCTGTGTTAGCATCATGGATAGGACAACCAGAATGATCCCTCTGTGAAGATGGCTTCCTCTTAGCAGGGGATCTAAGAGCTTAAGGCTAAAAAAATCTAGTATTCTGGATTGTCTACACTGTGTCTCTGAAAGAGGGGTTCGTGTGTATGAGGAGACGTAGTAAGAGAAGGAACCTTTCCCACCACACTGAAAGGCAAGAAAATAAGGCTTATCTCTGCATCTCTGGCAGGCCCCTGTGGATGCCCAGTAAATGTCGGTAATGATGGCGCGTGACTTCTCATTTATGCGGTCTCTTTTAGTTTCTGCCCTAGCCTGAATGTGGTGTCAAGGGAACTATTAATGGCTGCTATTCAGAGACATGTGACTTGATATTTATATATTACCTGCCCACTTCATAAAATGTTAATGAATGTTTGCAAAGCTCTTTGAAATCCTCTGGTGAAAGGTGCAACATTAAGTGAAAAATATTATTATTATTATTAGAAGGTAATAGACAGCTTTGAGTGATTGGTCATAAGAATAATTGACATAGCATTAAAAGAAGTGCCAGAAATCATTCAGACAGATTCAGCTCCTCTGGCCCCATCAGCCCCCACATTACATATATTACACTGTTTCTCTGACACCCATTCTAATAACCATATAATTCACACATTAAATCACCACTTCTAGGGAAAGGTTGAACTCACTCATAGCTCTACTGATAGTGACACTGAGAGGGTATAAAATGTTGAAAGGCCTAAAATGGAGCAGAAGTGCTCTTAGATGGTGAGACCAGATCCAGCTGCTGAATGGCCACCACATTTAAGAGAGTGTGAGAGAGGAATGAGTCAGAAACACTTTGGAAACAGAGAGGAAACTTAAAAATAGATGTGTGATTAGAAAGCCATGAAAACAATAAAAATCTAAAGTAAGATGGGCCAATATCTGGCAGTAATCTTTATTTATTTATTAATTATTATTAATTATTTTGAGATGGAGTCTCTGTCACCTAGGTTGGAGTACAGTGGCTTGATTTTGGCTCACTGCAACCTCTGCCTCCTGGGTTCAAGTGATTCTCCTGCCTCAGCCTCCTGTGTAGCTGGGATTACAGGCACCTGCCACCATGACCAGCTAATTTTTGTAGTTTTAGTAGAGATGGGGTTTCACCATGTTGGCTAAGATGGTCTTGATCTCCTGACCTTGTGATCTGCCTGCCTTGGCCTCCCAAAGTGCTGGGATTACAGGTGTGAGCCACCACACCTGGCCAGTGGTCCTTATTTTTGTCATATAGTCTCTCTGGTTTGAAAAATAGTGGTGCACAAACTGATTATGGTTTTCTAACTCCTTTAATTTGGCGTTAATATTTCTCAGTCTACTGCATAAAATTCAGTGTCCGTCAGGGTTGGCAAATTGGGTTGAACTTATTTGCTAACTCTAGTAGGATGACAGTAGCTGCCCGAAGTTTAATGTTGAGAACTGTGGGGCTCATTCGGGCTCAGCCCATGCCACACAGTGGCTCTCAGAATAGCATCCAGGAGATCTGTGAACCTCTTTCGGATGCAAGGTAGCTTCTTGAAGTCTGATTAATTGTCATAAAGGAGTTCCTATGTCAAATAATTTTGTTTCTAGAAGTTCAGCATTTCTGATTTTCATTTGGCTTAGAAAAGTGGGATCACCTCAACGCTATTTTATCAGTGGAGAAAGTAAGAAGTGGGGCAGGTGGCTCTTTGGGATCATTTGCTCAATAAACCTTCACAATAATGATAATTGCTAACATTTACTGAGCACTTGCTATGCATGAACCATTGTCCATTTTATAGACAAAGACACTGAGGCTTAGGAGAGATTACTTTCCCAAGGACACGCAAACAGAAAGTTAGGATTAGATCTAAAACCAAGCCAGTTGGACTGCAACACCCACACCCTCACTCCCTGCTCCGCACTCCTCCCGGTGTTGTGCGGATATGAATAATTGTTCCAGCAGATAAGGCCAAATCCTTTTGATCCCTCCTGGTGGCCTGTTAAACAGTCTTCATAGAGAACCAAAATAAAATATTTTCATTGTCCATTCTCTTCCTTTCAATTCACATGTGACCACTCCAGAAGTCACATGTACAGATTATTCAAAGGGTTTAAAATATTGGATAACATTTCCTCTCTACTTTTATTTGATTTAGAAAAAAACTCAATGAGACAAAAGAAGAAATTGGTGACATTTAACATCAATAAACTTTTACTTATGCCAGATGTCTCTTTTATTTAGGCTAATATATAGGAGCAATAGATATGTTAATTCTCTTCCTCCTTTAGGTAATATATTGTCGTTTAAACTACAGGAGTTCAGTATCCACTCTTATCAGCATCTTGGATTCTTTGTCAGTTAACTTTGTTGCCGCAGCAGGCAGCCTCTCACGTAACTCTGTGTTCTTGGGTTTTATTGCTAGAAATGCACTGAGCACTTTTATAGTTTTACTGTGCATTCTCTTCAAGGCAAAACTGTTATGTTTATACTGACATGCATTGTGTATAGGACATACCATTAAAAATCAGCTTGTTACCGAATCTGGGAATAGAATTACTAATGTTTCAGGATTCTAGTGAGGATCGTGAAATTAAATTTGGTCATTTAAAATTTGGGTTATGAAATGGTTGAAATTTGGTAGTGTAAAAAGTCACTGGTTTATTAAAAATGGATTTCTACTAGGACTCTCCTTGACTGGGTCAATTCCATTAGAAAATCATTAGCTGTTTACATAAGTAATTGCCAACTGCTAGCAGGTAATGTGGAGATCTTAATCTTTTTTTTTTTTTTTAAGTGGAACTTAAAATGTCTGTCTTGGTAAATTTTTCTTTTCTTTTCTCCCATCCACAATCCCTGCCCCATTTGTCTACTTTAGACAGACAGCAAGAAGAAACAAAACCAGAGGAGAAGAATGGAGCTGGATTGTCTCTGAAGACCTTCAGGCTACAGAGAAGCTGCACTCGTAATGCAGAGAATGCAGCTGGAGGAGCTCTTTGATTTAACTGTTGTTACTGAAATCTGTGTAGCATCAAGTGATTTAGAGCAGGGAGTTATCTTAGAATTCTGGAAAGATTCAAGGTGATTAGACAGTTGAAGAGTGAGAGTTCAAAGCCGGGACCACTCATTTCAGGCAAGGTTTGGGCAGTGACATAAATCCTTAGCAAGAGCTATAATAGTCTCCTTGAAGATAGGATACAGATCTTAATCCTTTCTGCATCTACAGTAAACTGTATAGAACAATAGTAGGTGTTTCATGAATAGCTGTCAGATGATGGCTTTGTCTATCACGAAAGGATGGGCCTCTCTGTCCCCTTGTAACTCTGGTGCTCATGGATTAAATTATTTGGTCCCTTTCAGTTATTTCTACATTCAGCTTATTGGATGCTCTCAACTATGTAGCTGGAACCCTCCTTTTCCCACTCAGTAGTATCTTCCATAAAGACTTTTTGGCTAGATTCTAAAACTTGTCAGCCATTTTTATTACAAGAATCATTCTTATTATATTATTCAAGACTCATGCCTCTTCATTTTTAAGCCAGGCATGGCGGCTCATGCCTGTAATCCCAGCACTTTGAGGGACTGAGGTGGGTGGATCACCTGAAGTCAGGAGATCAAGACCAGCCTGGCCAAAATGGTGAAACCCCGTCTCTACTAAAAATGCAAAAATTAGCCAGGCATAGTGGTGGGCACGTGTAGTCCCAGCTACTTAGGAGCTTGAACCTGGGAGGTGGAGGTTGCAGTGAGCCGAGATTGCACCATTTCACTCTAGCCTGGGCAACAACAGTGAAACTACATCTCAAAAAAAAAAAAAAAAAGACTCACGCATCTTCATTTTTAAAACTCAATTTTGTGTGTGATTCAGACCTTGAGCCTACACCTCTCTTCATCAAAGGCTAGTGCTATGTTCTAAATGTTTGTGTCTTCCTAAAATTAATATGTTGAAACCTAATCTCCAGTGCAACAGTATTAAGGGGTTGAGGGGTAGGGTTTTTATGAGGAGTTCATTTGCCCCTTTCCCCATGTGAGGACACAGCTGCAAGTGCCATTTATGAAGCAGAGAGTGAGCCCTCACTAGACACCAGATCTGCTGACCTCTTGATCTTGGACTTCCCAGCCTCCAGAACTGTGAGCAATAAATTGCTATTGTTTATAAATTACCCATTTGCTAGAGCACTCAAAAAGATTAAGACAGCTAGAGTTGTGGCTCTAATGACTTCAAGTGTGTGTATCTGTGTCTGTGGATACACGTGCATGTATGTAAGTGTGCATGATGTGTGTAAGTGTGAGACTTTGTATGTAAGTATGTTTGCATGTAACTCTGTATTTATGGCCGAGAGTTGGTCTGGTTATCCCCTCCATCTTCTAAGAACTAACTTCTCCAAGAAACTGGGGGAGGGGGAAGAAAAGGGCAAACATCTCTCTGCCATCCTGCATAAGTTTGCATGCTTTGTTTGACTGGCTGTGTTGCTCTTTTTTCTCAATGTGTATGTAGGAGTGATATGGATGACGGCCATTGTCATTTTCCACTGACCAGGGGCTTGCTTCCAAGTAGTTCCCCAAATGTTAGCAGGTCCTTTCATGATACAGCTGGATCTTGCAGCAAACCTCTGGCTGGTTCTGTTCCACTACATTTCTCTGATATATGCACCTTGTTGTCCTTCCTGCTGTGACAGTCTCCAATCTTTGCTATAATCCAGAGCTAACTCAGTGCAAGATCCATCCTCAATACCTTTCTCCTGGAAGTCAGGGGAGGTGATCTTGGCTTCCTCTTCCCTGGCAGTGTCATGCCTGCCTCTTCTGCCCTGTTATGTCACATCTCCATAATTCTCTTTTACCTGGTCACAGGCACTGGTGACAGATCGTCACGTCTTCTAGCTATGCAGTCATCTAACCAAGGAATGAAAGGCTGATCTCCTCTTCAGTCATTCCTGTCTTGACCAGTGAGTCTCTTGAGGCCTCTGATTGGATGAGCAAAGGGAATAGCCTCAAACACTTCACTGCTTTTAGTGCCACATCCCTGCTCTAAATACCCCTTTTATACTGACTGGGGGATTGCAAGGGAGGCAGTTAGTGATGGGCCAGTCCAGAGGTACTTCTGGAGTAAGCTCTGGAGTGAGATGACCAGCCCTAAATAATGGCACACTTAGAATGTGATTTAGATTAAGTACCTTTGGACCTAAGCTTTGGGCCTTAGCTGCAATTGTAGAACAATAAGAAAAGTTCTGGTATATTTTTACACAGACTTTAGATGTGTATTCTAAGTATTTTTAGCCAAACTACCCTTTCCTAACAGAGCACAAAATAAGACCTAAAATAAGAAACAAAAGTTAGATAAATAATAAAATGAAACAAATACAAAATGAAAAGCAAAATACTAATATGTTATTTAGTACAAATACCATAAACGTGATTCCCTTTTAATGATAATAATAGCTTATTATGTGTCAAGCACTGTTCTAAGTGCTTGACATGAATGATCTCATTTAATCCTTGCAACAATACTATAAGTTCATTTATTTTATTTATTTAATTTTTTGAGACAGAGTCTTTCTTTGTCACCCAGGCTGGAGTGTAGTGGCACAATCTCAGCTCACTGCAACCTCTGCCTCCCCTGTTCCAGTGATTCTCCTGCCTCAGCCTCCCAAGTTAAGTAATATGTTTTACTTAACCCAATATAGGCATACCTCATTTTATTGTGCTGGGACTACAGGTGCATGCCACCATGCCTGGCTAGTTTTTGTATTTTTTTAAGTAGAGACGGAATTTTACCATATTGGCCAGGCTGGTCTTGGACTTCTGACCTGGTGATCTGCCCACCTGAGCCTCCCAAAGTGCTGGGATTGCAGGTGTGAGCTACCACGCCCAGCTCTATAAGTTCATTTATTATTAGCATTATAAAGATGAGAAGATGGAGACACAAGAGATAACCTGCACTTGGATGCCAAAGAGTGCATCAGCAGCAAATATAGTAAAAAGATATTAAGCTGCTTTTCCTAATTAGCACTCTATGGGTGTGTGATGGTTAATTTTATGTGTCAACTTGACAAACATGGGATGCTCAACTGTCTTGCTGGGCACTATTTCTGGGTGTGTCTGTGAGCAGTTTTGGAAAATAATAGTATCTGAATCAGACTTAGTGGAGTCTATTGCCCTCTCCAATGTGATGAACAACGTCCAATCTATTGAGGGCCTAAATAGAACAAAAGGCAGAAGGAGGGAGGATTTGTTTCATTCCTGCCTTCCTGCTTGAGCTGGGACCTTGGTCTTCTCCTGCCTTTAGACTGGGACTTATACCAATGGTTCCCCAGGTTCTTGGGTCTTTAGACTCAGACTGAAACAATATTGTTAGTTTCCTGGGTCTCCAGCTCGTAGACAAAAGATTATGGGATGTCTAGCCTCCATAATTATGTGAGACAATTCTTCATTAAAAATATGTATATTTTTATATATTCTATAGCTTATGCAATATGTAAATGCATATATATTATATGTAATATAGTATGTATATAATTTTGGTTCTTTCCAAAGAAACTGACTATTACAATGTGCCAATTTCCAAAACAGCTTTTAGGCCATTGTAGCAAAATCTAAAAATTTTAGTTAACATTAAATCATTCCAAAAGACAGTGTGAGTTAGTGGTTAAGAGCATAGATTCTGGAACTGGATTATATGAGAGTAAATCTTAGCTCACCTTCTCCTAGCTGGGTGGCCATTGATAGCTGGGGTCCCACCACCTCAGTTTCCAGTAAGTAGTGTTAGTATTTGGCCTAAAGTATTGCTGGCAGAATTAAGAGAATTGGTATATCTAGAGCTGCCTGTCAAAAGTAGCGTATGAGCCATAGATGTAATTTAAAATTATCCAAAGTAGCCACAATTAAAAAAAAGGGAAGAAGAAATAAGTAAAATGAATTATAGTATGTTTTACTTAACCCAATATAGGCACACCTCATTTTATTGTGCTTCACAGATACTGTGCTTTTTGAAGGTTTACAAAAACTCTGTGTCAAGCAAGTCTACTGGCACCATTTTTCTAACAGCATGTACTCACTTAGCATCTCTGGGTCACGTTTTGGTAGTTTTCACAATATTTCTAACCTTTTCATTATTATTGTATCTGTTATGGTGATCTGTGATCTTCGTTATTATTATTGTAATTGTCTTTTGTTGTTATTGTTTGAGACAGCATCACTCTGTCACCCAGGCTGGAGTGCAGTGTCACCATCTCAGCTCACTCCAACCTGCATCTCCCAGGTTCAAGTGAGTCTCCTGCCTTAGCCTCCTGAGTATCTGGGATTACAGGCATGTGAGACCACATCCTGCTAATTTTTGTATTTTTAGTAGCAATGAGGTTTCACCATGTTGGTCAGGCTGGTCTCAAACTCCTGACCTCAAGTGATCCACCAAAGTGCTAGGACTACAGGTGTGAGCCACCACAACTGGCCACTATTATAATTGTTTGAGAGCACCACAAACTGCACTTTCATAAGATGGGAAACTTAATTGATCAATGTTATGTGTGCTCTGACTGCTCTACCAACTGGCCATTCCTCCATCTCTCTGTCCTTTACCTTGGGCCTCTCTATTGCCTGAGATACAGCAAAATTGAAATTAGTCTAATTAATACCCTATAATGGTCTCTGAGTGTTAAAGTGAAAGGAAGAATTGCATGTCTCTTACTTTAAATCAAAATCTAGAAATAATTAGTGAGAAAGGCATGTCAAAAGCCAAGATAGGCCAAAAGTGAGGCCTCCTGTGCCAGTCAGTCAAGATGTTAATCCAAAGAAAAAGTTCTTGAAGGAAATTGAAAGTGCTACTCTAGTGAATACAAAATGATAACAAAGTCAAGCAGCTTTCTTGCTGATATGGAGAAAGTTTGAGTGGTCTGGACAGAAGATCAAACTAGTCACAACATTCCCTTAAGACAAAGCCTAATCCAGAACAAAATCCTAAGTCTTCAATTAGGTGAGGGAGCTGCAGAATAAAAGTTTTGTGCTAGCAGAGGTTGGTTCATGAGATTTTATAAAAGAAGCTGTCTCTGTACCATCAAAGTGCAGGGGAAGCAGCAAGTGCTGATGTA